AGTCTGAACCCACAGCAAAAATTTCAGAGTGAAATACCTGTTGTGCAAAGCAGTGGAGGCAGGGGGAAGAGATCACATTTTGGGGGAAGACATAAACCATACAACATCATTTCAGTGTTGGCACCTTCCTCATTTTAGGAATTAGTTTGGCCATTTAAGGATCTCAAAATGATTGTTTTCAGTGTTTCACAACTAAGCAAGATTCAAACCATGCACAATAAATCTATAGCAAGGTATCCAATAAAATTAAATGTGACTTCTCAGGTCTTTCTTAATTCTGAAAGGTTATTGTTATGTACTGAGTTGAATAGGATCCAATTTGCAGCAGTCTGATTGGTCCTAGAACAATAGGATTCAGAACGCAGCAGTCTGATTGGTCCACAGAAGCCACCCAATCCAGCTCCAGGGGGAAGTGAATCTGCAACCTGATTAGCCTACAGGAGAATCCCGGAATTAGCTAATCACGTGGGTCCCATTGTGTAAATAATGTATATAAAGCAAACATTCTGGGGGTACTTCCATTCCTCCTCACCACTATGAGCTGAATAAAGAGCATGAAATCCATTCTCGACTCCGAGTATATTTCAGTTATCTGATAAAATAATTTCTTCTTGCTCATCTGTGTCTGAACTGAGGATTTAGTCCTTCTGAACAAATACCATGGCTTGAATTCCACGAACCATTTGAGGTTTTTGTCTCCTCCTTCCCACTGAAGCCCTATAAAAGATGCTGCTGAGAGCTGGAGGACCCTCCAGGAAGGTGTGCAGTACAAATACGGGGGCTGCAGCTGTGGGTGGGGGTAGATAATTAATGGTAATCGGAGACACCCAACTTGCATGAATGGAAGAGCCTCCAGCTTGTGCAAAGGGGATATTTGGAACTAAGTCCGTGCTGTTGCTGATATTATAGGGAAGTCGGGCAAGAAAACATTTAAAAAAGAAATGAGCCACCCTATCCACAGAACACGGGGAACAAAACCCACTATATAATCATTACAAGAAGGGATACTCGACCCATTTGACTTGCATTTATAGGTCACCTGTTCAACAGTTGTCCTCTTAGGCTACGAGACCCAGGCAACCCTTTTAATTTAATTTAATTACAATTGCTCAATTACAATTGCTCAAGAAGGAAAATGAGAAGGCCCCTCTCACTTACAGGAAGAGGTTGGATAGGTGAGTACTGATGTCTTCCTGTTCCCCGTGGTTGCAAATTCATGAACAACAGAGGGAGACATGCATTTGTCCCTTTGGTTTAAATCAACAAAATTACTTCCATGCAAATATTCCTATGTACAGAACTGGCAACTGCAGAAAAGGTGACCCACAATATAAAGGTTTCCAAAGACTTAGAAGATCCAAAGCATTTTTATACTGTGTGGTGGGACTTTATCATTTTTACGAATACAACAAACCTCTAGGGCCCTTTGGAGGAAACATGGACTTTTAAATGTTTCCACTAATGGGTGGCTCCTCACAGCTTCTGATTTTGTTGACAAATTAAGGAAATGGATATGTGGTCCCCTCTGTCATTTCTGATATTTTAAAATTTGCTTTTCTTTGTATTTTTATCTTATGTATTGAAAATAATAAAAGATTCCCTTTTATAAGATAAATTGTAACAAACAAAATCAATCTTATAGTTTGGCACGAAAGAATAAAGGTCGCATCCCATGGCGAGGGCTGGCTCATGCCATGAGGCAAGCTGAGGCAACCGCCTCAGGAGGCAGGATCCATGGGGGCAGGAGATCCCGAAGTAGATCTTTATTCCTCCCTTGTTCTTGATGTAGTTCTTCACTCACCCCTTCTTTCCTGGTGTGGTGCGGGGCCGCCATTTTGTGACTTGCCATCAGGTGCCAAATGTCTTGGGACGGCCCTGCCCTTGGTGGGCCTTAGAGGGCAGAAAGCAGGGAGGCCAATAGTAGATGGAGCCACAGCCAATAGGTTAACCTAATGCCAGTCCTCCTCAGAGCAAATCCATTGAAATTAATGGATGTAAGCCAGGTTCAGTAACTTTCAATGGGTAGGACTAGTATTTGACACAACTCAATGTCAGGCAGAGCTAATTTGCTCCCATCCTCTTCCCTATAAGGGCAACGCCGAGATGGAGGAAGCTGACAGGATGTGAGTAAGGCAAGTGACTTAGTCCTGTCCATTAATTTCAGTGGGTCTCCTGAGAGTATGGGGGACGCAGGTGGCGCTGTGGGTTAAACCACAGAGCCTAGTACTTGCCGATCAGAAGGTCGGCGGTTCGAATCCCTGCGATGGCGTGAGCTCCCGTTGTTCAGTCCCAGCTCCTGCCCACCTAGCAGTTCTAAAGCACATCAAAGTGCAAATAGATAAATAGGTACCGTTCCGGCGGGAAGGTAAACGGCATTTCCATGCGCTGCTCTGGTTCGCCAGAAGTGGCTTAGTCATGCTGGCCACATGACCCGGAAGTTGTACGCCGGCTCCCTCGGCCAATAAAGCGAGATGAGCGCCACAACCCCAGAGTCGGCCACAACTGGACCTAATGGCCAGGGGTCCCTTTACCTTACTGAGAGTATGATTAATATTGAATAGAACCCTTTGGATCTCTCACCCACCTCTCCTCTATATTGAGTGAGATACAGTCTAGGTATCTCACTTGACTGTTGGCAGTGAATATGCCATGCTTATCACAACATTAACACCAGGAAGGATTTTCTGACAGAGGTATTAGACGGTAGAACAGACTCCCTCAGGAAGTGGTGAAATCTCCTTCCTTCGAGGTTTTTAAGAAGAGGTCGGATGAACACCTCTCATGAATGCTGCAAGTTTAGATTCCTAAATTGCAGGGGGGTTGGACTAGATGACCCTCGGGTTCCCTTCCAACTCTACGATGCTATGAGCTGAAGTTGCCAGCCGGCAAGCAGGAAGGAAAAGTACACAAACAAGGGAAAGGCGCCAGGAGAAAGGATTGGAATGGTGGGGAAACACCATACAACTAAGCAGAAGTAAAAATGTGCAGAAGAATTTCGCTTGGCCTCTGCTGCTCAGTTCCCCTTGGCTTAATTCCAAGCAAGGGAATGTGACAGCCTTTATTTATTTTATTTCTTGAATTTATATCTCACTTCCCCTGCCCCCCAGGAGCTCAAGGAGGCATATATGGTATTCACCCTCCTCATTTAATCCCCACAATAACCCTCTGAAGTGGGTTAGGCTGAGGGACAGTCAATGGCTCTTACCACTATTTTGAAAGCCCAACGTAGATGAGAGGGTATCTCATTAAAGCATCCCACGACATGGGAAAAGCAATCTCTTTTTAGAAAATGACCTTTGAGGTTTATAATGCATAACAATTGGAAATCTGAATACAAGATAAGCAATTGTATGAATGGGATTGCATTAAGGGTAGCCAAATTCTGTGCGATTGCCATAAAACTTGGGGAACAAGCTGTGCTATCATAATGATTAAGGCCTTAAATGATAATTTTAGGTTATATGCTAGTGACCAAGATTTAATTTATATATTTTTTAACTGTTGCTATATCTGTATTGTCCCGGTTATACTTAATTGCAAATTCAAATGTATCCCTATCGTGTTTTATGACTTACTTGATATTGTATGTGGGCTGGAACTGGTCTGTGACCGAAATAATAAAATTCAAATTGTATTAATGGTTACTTTTTATTAGATGTTATTGAGATTAGAAGATATTTTTCGTGACTTTGAATTTTTTTTTTGTAATTTAAGTTTTTTTTTTTTAAAAAAAGTTGTATTTTAAATACAGTGGTGCCTCGCAAGACGAAATTAATCTGTTCCGCGAGTCTCTTCGTCTTGCGATTTTTTCGTCTTGCGAAGCACGGCTATTAGCGGCTTTAAGAAAAAGGAAACAAACTCGCAAGAACTCACAAGACGTTTCGTCTTGCGAAGCAAGCCCATAGGGAAATTCGTCTTGCGGAACGACTCAAAAAACGCAAAACCCTTTCGTCTAGCGAGTTTTTCGTCTTGCGAGGCATTCGTCTTGCGGGGCACCACTGTAGCTTAAACCTGCCCTGGGACCTTAGGGTGAGGCGGTGGGTATTATTAATGAATTAATTAATTAGGGCAGGACTATTAAAGAGATCATGGCAAACATGTGTTCCCAAGCTTGTATTTCCTGATGTACTGCAATGAGGAAATATTTGCAGGTGAAAAACTGACAGGTGGGAAAAGGAAGTGTTTAACACTTCCTATGTCTGCTGATTCTCCCCTCAGCTATTTTCCAGGACATTTTTCTGGTTTCAGCCGGGAGCGGATAGGCTAAAAAAGCAAGGTGGGTGGGAATGGACTAAAAAGACACCATTTGCTCAAGAGAATCTGCAAGCAAAGAGAGGTGTTATGGAACTATTCTCCCGCCTGGCAATTCTTCCCAGAAATTGTACCTTCACATACCTGGTGGGGTCCCAGCTCACTCTGCCTTGCAGCATCCCACCCCAAATTTCCCCAAACCCACTTTTGCAACCCATGGTGGGGCCACAATATTGGTTTGTATATCTGAAATTCTCTTCCAGGAAAACTGTCCATGCCAAGAGGGAACACATAATTTATTATCTATAATAACAATAATTGTAATGATATAACGCCTTTAAATTAATAGCCATCAGGGTATGAAGTCTCATATGTTAGGTTTTTTTTTAAAGGACCCATTTGCCCACATTTTGCTCTATTTATTAGTGTTGAGCACTCTTACGAGGGATAGATTATGCCTGTGAGGCATAAGGAATTTACATGAACAATTCTCATTAGTGTTAATGGGCGCTATAGCACCCGTATAAATCCTCTTTGATAGGAGCACTGGAGCTACACACACACACACACACACACACACACACACACACACACACACTGCAAGGCTATTATCCTTGCCATGCAAAATCAAATACACTCAGCAAGCAAAATGTGTTGTTTTACTATGGCCTGCACAGAAACCTAGAACTGTAAGGGTACCCAGGGTCATCTAGTCCAACCCCCTGCAATGAAGGAATCCTGTCCACAGCTGTCCCTGGGCGGACTCGAACTACCAACCTTCTGGTTAGCAGCCAGACATACTGTCTCATTGGGCTACCGGGAGGGGGGGTGGAGAGAAGAAAAAGAAAATAGCAGTGGTTCCTTCTAGCATGCCACCCACCAAACATTTCATCGGGAGAGTGCCGGCACTTCGTATTTAATTTACTGAATGAAGGAGCAGTGCTAGGAGCCAAATTAATTTGGCGTTTTGAAATTTTCACTTTGCTGCTTCTTTTATCAGTTTGCAAATGCAAATCCTGATGAATAGAAGCTTGCTTTTTTTTTTTTACTGTCGGTTTCCCCCCCCCAACCCACCCACCCCCTTGCTTAGCACAAAACCAGACTTCACTGAAAAGCTCCTCCCTCTCCCCTGCCTCCCCCCCCCAAACATCTTCTTATCTTAACGGAAGATGGATAGAGTATCATCCTGGCCATGTCGCATTAGGTGTCCTCATTTACAGATTGCGAGAAGGAAAGAGGAAGAAAAAAAAGACGACTCGTATAAATTATTCAAAATCTATTGTATCAGTGTGTGTTCTCTGAGCATTCACCACTGGCAAAGCAGACAGATTATTTTTCACTTTTAATTGTGTTGATACCTTATCTGCCCCATTGAAAGTGGAGAATGGTATGTGAAACCACATGTACCCTGCGAGCAAATAAAGCCAGTTACTAGGTCTATTATTTAAAGCCAAAGTAACCCATTTAGACAATGTTACTTTAACACAATGCCAAAAAAAAAAAGAGGCCAACCTTGTTGCTATTTACTTTTGTAATGCTTGTCTATTGCTATGTCAAACATGAAAGAGTTTAGTTCAGGGATAGGTTGCTTAAAGAAGATCTGAACAGATTTAATAACCAGTGTCACAAAGGACTTCAGAATGCCATCTGGGTACAAAGGAAGTCATTGTGTGTATCACTTCCTCTGTGACGCTAAGCCAAATGCCCCTTTGCTCAGAATTCAAGGGCGTTTTAAAGGATTTCAAATCCTATGGAATGCATTACCTTAATAGCAAACGCTATTAAAACAATTCTGTGCATCTATGCCAAATCACACCACTGCTTCTATTTTCTACATGGCAACTCCTATGATTTAAAACCCTCAGTTATTCTCATGCTGTGTCTCAAAAGGAAATATGGCCTGATAGGGGCTTGATTTCTTTTGTTTTAAATCACAGGAATGTGCTGTCCGGCATGCGGCATGCCTCATCTTATTGACGATGGCAGATAAACAAATTCAAGCTGAGATTTTTGACTTGCAAGTTAGCTGTTGCTATGTGACTTAAGGAGAAAAGTAGGTTGGTGAAAAAGCAAGTGTCTGCAGGTGAGAAGCTCACTCAGCAAGCTTCTGTTGACGGCAAGTATCCACCCTTCAGAGACGCGGGTGGCGCTGTGGGTTAAACCACAGAGCCTAGGACTTGCCGATCAGAAGGTCGGCAGTTCGAATCTCCGCGCCGGGGTGAGCTCCCGTTGCTCAGTCCCTGCTCTTGCCAACCCAGCAGTTCAAAAGCACGTCAAAGTGCAAGTAGATAAATAGGTACCGCTCCGGCGGGAAGGTAAATGGTGTTTCCATGTGCTGCTCTGGTTCGCCAGAAGCGGCTTAGTCATGCTGGCCACATGACCCGGAAGCTGTATGCCACCTCCCTCGGCCAGTAAAGCAAGATGAGCACTGCAACCCCAGAGTCGGCCACGACTGGACCTAATGGTCACGGGTCCCTTTACCTTTACCTTAACTAAAGCAACAAGTGTCTCTTTACCTTTACCTATCCAACCTTCTAGATAGACTATTGCACTTGCACCACCTTGCCCCCGTGATCGAGGTGCCCAGGGGCACAAGACGTCAGCATAGCATGCGCGAACACCACCCCGCCGCATGCTGATGTGGGACATGCTGACATGTTGTGTGGACACGCCACAGGGTGAGTGCCCTATGATTTGGCTTGGCCCCCATGGCCCTCCATACTTGGCTCCCGTGGACTACTGACAAATACAGCTTTTCTCCATTTACAAAGAACAGACATGCCTGAATGTCATGTAACATGCCGTATTAGAATATTAGCATAAAATACCCATACAAATCTACACATATGCTCATTTTCCAAGTGCTTTATGTGCTTATGTAAGACTCATTTAGATCGACGTGGCCTGCCTGCTCAATGGGACAGTTACACAATCTGAGCCAAAAGGAAGATTAGGAAAAAGCTTTGTCTAAATTCAGACCGGTTAATACTCGCTCAAGGAAATTCTCCATCCATCTCTTTAGACAGATTAGGGTTGCCAGGTCCGGATCTTGAAATGGCCCCTGTATCTTGGAGAGTTGCACAGAAAGCAGAATTCCTCTTGGTGTGGCCTCTCTCCTCACTGACTTAGGAGGAATTTTGCCTTTAATGTAATGATGCTCCCAGAACAGGCTAGTTGACTCTATGCTCGGGGAGAGAACTGCAGCAGTGGAAGCCCCATAAATTGGCTTTCAGAGTACACTTGAATGCAGGGAAGGACCCCCGAGACAAACCGCAACTTACCTGCGGAAGGAGTGGAAACTGCAGGGTGTGTTCCGCTGGTATGTTTCCACATCAGACATGCTTTTACAAACCTGACAGTGCTCGCTGTGAATCGCGATGACGGCATTTACTACATAAAAGTTGCTATAGGACCACGATTTCAAAACAAATCCTAAGGTTAAAACCTTAGGAGAAACCACACTAGAGGCTTAGATCTTCACTGCAGGCCCTTCTCCAAGTTCCCACTCTGAGGGAGACTCAAAGGACGGTGATATGGGACAGGGTCTTTTCAGTTGTGGCTCCATGTCTGTGCAATGCTTAGAGCTTTTGATGACATCTGTTTTGTGCTAGGTAAGCACTGACCTTACTTACCTAGGGGGTTGGACTCGATGGCCCTTGTGGTCTCTTCCAACTATATGATTCTATGATTCTATGACCTTTCTTTCCAGGCGTTTGATAAGACTGAGATGGTGTTGTGTTGTCACTAAAAAGGTAAAGGGACCCCTGACCATTAGGTCCAGTCGTGACCGACTCTGGGGTTGCGGCGCTCATCTGGCTTTATTGGCCGAGGGAGCTGGTGTACAGCTTCCAGGTCATGTGGCCAGCACGACTAAGCCGCTTCTGGCAAACCAGAGCAGCGCACGGAAACGCTGTTTACCTTCCCGCCGGAGTGGTACCTATTTATCTACTTGCACTTTGACGTGCTTTTGAGCTGCTAGGTTGGCAGGAGCAGGGACTGAACAATGGGAGCTCACCCCGTCGTGGGGATTCGAACCACGACCTTGTGATTGGCAAGTCCTAGGCTCTGTGGTTTAACCCACAGCGCCACCCATGTCCCTGTGTTGTCACTAGCAAGCTGCCAAAGCTTTCTGCGGATGTCATGAGGGCTGTTTTGCTTTGCTTCTACGGCATGATGTATTTATAATCGTGTTTTTAAATGTACTGTAAGTTGCTTGGAGACCTTCAGGTAACAAGCAACTAATAAGTCTAATAAATAACTACGTAACTAAATAATATCATGGCATACATTTTTGTGGACGACAGTCCTTTTCATTAGATGCACGAAGTGTTATCCTGAGTTACAGGAATATAGGCAGATAATTTGAGGGTGGAGGGGTGGTGAACAGTAAGGATGGAAGAAAATGAAATGCACAAAGGTACAATTTTGCTGATTATGTAATTAATAAAATATAGCGGGAGCTCGGAAGTCGAACATAATCTGTTCCGGAAGGACCTTCGACTTCTGAAACGTTCGATTTCTGAGGCACGGCTTCTGATTGGCTCTTGCAATCAGAAGAGCCAATCGGAACCCGCTTGTCTGCTGCGTCAGACGTTCGGCTTCCGAAAAGCGTTCAAAAACTGGAACACTTACTTCTGGGTTTTAGATGTTCGGGAGCTGAAACGTTCAGCAACGGAGACGATCAAAAACTGTAGTAGCAAATCACAAAACAGCTGTTAACAACACAGACACCCTGGCATTGGAAAGCCAGTTAATGCATACAATGTACTAAAAGTCTCCACTCAGTGATACATTTATCCTCTTGATGTATTGTTGTAATTCAGAATGTTTGCCTCAGAATGGCCACTCCAAAATCATTTACAGAGCCTCGTGGAAGGTTAAAACATTTCTCTTTAGAAACTATGACTTTTAATGTTATGGTATTCATATTAATATCACCAGATATTAATAATTTGAAAAATGATGTGTCCACACACTTTTCTCTTGGCCTTTTAAGAGAGCAGACCATTAAAAAAACCAAACAGGTCACTCGTTAATGATCACTACATCACCAAGCCAGGGAGAAACCACATCTGTAGAACTTCGGCCTGTGTGCAGTTGCTAAAGATACAACAGCCTGCTTCCTGTTGTGTTTTTCCACAAAAAAACCCTGTAGTAACTCAATGTGCATGGTATTGTATAACTATGGTTTTAAAATCTTCAGTCATTCTCTTCCTTCACTTTCACTGTTTTACATACAAACAGCATAGAACAGGCATGTCCAACAGGGAGATCATGATCTACCAGTAGATCACTGGATGTCTGTGGTAGATCGCCAGAAGATCACTGGCTCCTCCCAAAGAAGCTCAACAACTTTCGCTCCCCTAAAAAAAGCTCAACAACTTTCCCTATCACCCCTAAAAACGGGGTTTTCCTTCTCCCTAAAAAAAATCAACAACTTTGACCTGAACCCCTAAAAAACAGGGCTTTCCTTTAAAAAAAAATGCTCAACAACTTTGACCTGAACCCCCCAAAAGGGGGTAGATCACTGCTAGTTTTTAACTCTGTGAGTAGATCGCAGTCTCTTGGGAGTTGGCCACCCCGGCATAGAACATTTTATTATGAACAAATAACTGGGTAGTTTTCCTTCCTCCTTTTTAAAGCACCAAGAAATTCTGCCTTTCTCTCTCTTTTCCAAAGCAGTCTTACGTACTCCGAAGTCAGTCCCAATGAAATCAGTTCCCATCTTTTGACTCTATTTGCTGTGACTTCCAGGCCTGAGGCCACACACTGCTAACATATTCTTTGGAAGGCATTCAGAATAACATTCACCCCCTAATTTGG